CTTTTACGCTTTCTGATTTTTGTGCCACGACCTCTTCCTGCTCCTTTTCTAAAGTACAAGCTGTTTGACAAAAAAAATCACTAAGGATTCTGCATTAAACTCTGAAACCAGCTTTTGGGATCCAACAGAACATTATCGTGAAATCAAACGATCAGCTCAGGCTGCGCACCTGAAGCTGTTGGATCCTGCTGATGAAGAGTTTTGTGCCTTTTTCTGCCTCTCTTGCTTTTCCATCTCACTGATTCCCTTCATCCAGAAATTCTCAGAGGGAATGTTTCTCTCCTTCTCCTCCTTTGGACTTTGGTTATGCAGGATTCCTGCTGAGCGACGTTATCTTGAAGAGCAGCACAGGCGTCGTTCTACTTCTTTTCTCACGGTGGACGAGGTCCGTGTGTGCTTTCACCCGAGGTGTTGGTTTTTCACAGATTTTTCGTGGACCTTGTCTTTTTGTGCGAGGTTGTTGTGGAGCTGTCTTACCTTTGTTTTATGCCCATCTTCTTGGATGGCGATCTTTTCTTTGGGAGAGCTGCGTCTCTTAGCTCTTGCATGGTTGCTGATTGCAGCAGCTGGTTTGTGGGTTGCTGCTGACTGAGTGCAGTGTTGTCTCAGCTGATGCTCGCTGTAAAAGGCAACACAAATGTGAACTAGGCCTAAAGCCTGAAAGCATAAATGTAGCTATTGCAAAAATCCAGCCTCATTCTTATCATTAGATACACATAAAAACACAATGTGTCTACTTATGCATGCACCACATTCACTCCAGCACGCCACGCTTGGACCTGCTGTTATCCAAGGACAGCAGTTGTTGCTGCCAAATGGGATTCTTAGGCTTCTTATTTCCACACTTACACGGGTATTTTTTTAAATGTGGATTGTTCCAAGTTTCATTTGAAACACGAAAACTCAAGAAATGATGTCAAGTGATTTCAAGTTCATGGCAGAGCGACAGGTGGCGCTATAACGCACACTGTGAAGAAATGTTAGCCAATCAAAAACCTGCAAATGGTAACATGGCGCGTAATGTGACATCAGAAAAGGAGCTAAAGGCGCGCACCTTTGAAGTTGGGGAATTAAATCTCAATTTTCCATCTCCACATGTAAATGCAAAAATGGAGTTTTGGAAAATCTTCACCCTGTTAGATTTTCATAAGCGATCCAAAATGGCGTTTATTTACACTTTCTTATCATTTATTATTCTGAATCTTATTCTTGTA